CTGGTCTCTCAACTTCTCCCTAACTATGGGAGGTAAAAACTTCTCCTGGAAGGTGTTAACGAAGGCCTCCCAAGTCCCTTCAATACGTCCCCGCGCATATTTCTACCACTAACCCGTGTCTCCTTTCTGCTGAAAGGATGCCAAGGTCACACTCTCAAACCCCCATCTTCGATGCCGAACATCTCAAACGTCTTCACCATCTGCTCTAGCCACTCATTAGCCTTTAGTGGCTCCTTAGGATCACCTAAAAACTCATCCGGATTCGACCGGAAGAACACTCTCTTCAGAAAAGATTGCCCTGCTTCAACTCCTTGGGCCTAGACTTGATTCTTAGCTCTGACAATGTCCATGGATTTTCTCAATGCTCTGGCCATTTCGCGGGCTAGGGCGCCCAGGGCCTGTTGACTAACTGGTTCAGCTATATTGGCCTGACCAACACCTTCATCCTGTGCCAGAATATCATCTAATATTGGCATCTCCTGTTGCTTAGGCCCACCACGTCCACGTCCGGACATACTAATAAAGGTAACACAAGAAATTAGCATATTCACAAATGTGCCGAACTAACTCACTCGCATCCTAACGCATTGAACAACACTAATTCACTCCACATAAGCACACAACCACGTAAGCACAGACGAATTTACTTCCTAGATAATGACCGTTCCGCGGCGTTGCTAGACTTCCAATTAGAAACAACAGTGATCAAGTGCTCTTCTAATAGGACTTCCAGAAACTCATAGACCCAATCAATATCTTAGGAACTAAATCCCATACCCATATAATCACATAAGCATGTTATCATCTACGCATACAATACATACTAACGTCTCAACTAAACGAGACAAACCCATTACGGTGATAACCACTTCCTACGTACCCAAAGTATTCAAACCTGGTACGCTTTGATACCAAGTTGTCACGCTTCCAAAATAATACAAATAATCCAACTCATAAGAGAAGTGAGTATAATAGAATTGGCGTACTTCCATTCATCAAAGTTCGAATTACAAAATATAGTACATGCACTATACATTCATAAATGTTTATCCTGAATCTATAGCATGTAACATCAATTACTAACAATGAAACAAATGCCCTACGAGCTTACATCTTTCCAAAATATTGTTTGGTTATAGCAAAAGAGAGTCATGAGCTTTGTACATATAAAAAGCCATTGGCTTGAATAAACATCTAACACAAAACACAAAATAGAGCCTCCAGCTCCTAGGTCCTCCCAAGCTACGTCCTTGAAGGAAGCATATCACCGGTACCTAAAAATGGTTTCGCAAGTAGGGTGAGCCAAAACCCAATAGAAACAGTCTATCACAATATATGAGGTTTAACTAAGATATAAGTGTCAGAGATATATTCAATAGTTATGACAAAATGCTCAATCTTCTAATGACCACATGGTCCCGATATTCACATCTCAATCCATTTCCATCTATTCATTACAAGTTAATTCATTTCATTTCAAATTCATAAGCCAAGTTTACAAATTTCCAAATAACCCAATTGAGGCTACAACTCGGTGGTTCTAAATCAACATAGCTATCATCTAAGCACTTCAATCTTGCCATTTTATGAAAATTTCGTCCGCGGGATCGACACCCGTGTATACACATGATTTTGGGACTTTCAGCTTGCACGCTTTGGCCAACTTAATTTCAATGGTGTCCATCCCCTATTTCCTCCTAAAACATGGAGTACATCCCATTTCTTCTCCCAAAACATTACACATATACAATGTATTTAAAGTACCGTCATATTCAATGACCATCAATTATACATATTCAATGTTTTGTCATACCATCACATTCAATGACACAATTAAATGATTAGTTTCAATTCACCTAATCCTCATGCAATTTCTACAACAATCATAGATATCTTCTACCAATAGCCCAATACAATTATTTCTAAACAGATATACAATCTTTATAACAGATAATTCATCAAATTTCCATAGGTGAGTGATTTAACAAATCCAACTACACCATTCATTCATACATCCTCTCAATTTCACATTTCTTATACCAATTCCATTATTTATACAAAATAATTATTTAACTCATATTAGGGCAAATTTCCCCATTTTCCCAAATATCAATCCAAAGGCTAAAATCCACCTTTCCAACCTAAGATAACCTCATATTCAAAACCCTATATTCATTTACAAAACATAACATAGAAATCCCTCTTTTCAATTTGAATCTAAACCCTAGATTTTCTCCAAACCCCTTTAAACTCACCATTTATACATAACAGCAAATATCTAGGTTAAAGATTGTAACAAAGTGTAGAATGTCCCTACCTCAAAGAGTGAAGACGAATCAAGCAAGAGTGAAACGCTGAGAACACTGAAACCCACTTCTATTTGGATCAAAATAGAGGCCTTGAAGCGCTCTACCTTTTTCTCAAAGGCACTAGGGTAGAAATCCCAATGGATCTAGATGAAATCTTAAAGAGAATGTGAATTTTAGAGAGAGAATGTGCAGATCTAGATTTTGGAAAGTTTTAGAAAGAGAGAGAGAGAGAAGAAAAAGTGATTCAAAATGTCATCTTCACGGACTGTTATATACTCAGTCCGCTTGAGCGTGGAAAATGACGCTCAAGCGTCAGACACAAAGTTCCGCTCGAGCGTAGGATATGCTCTTTCAAAAGTTTTGCAGATGAAGGACCCCGCTCGAGCGTGAGACTGGACGCTCGAGCATGCAATGCACTCTCCCAGTATTTGCAGACCTGCAAAAAAATACTGAGAATGGACAAATCTCGCTCGAGCACAATAATGGCCGCTCAAGCGAAGGAGCAAAATTTGCGAAGCTCGTTTGAGCGGAAGAGCCAAAATCTGGGCATTCCATATTTGGTAAAACACACAACCAACCTGTTCCAAACACACAACTACAATCCGATAACCAAAATAAGGGGAAGACAAGAGAAACAAGATATGAATAATCATTCTAAACCATACCAACCCGAGTCCGGAATACACTAAGTGATGGTCAAAACCGAAATCGCTATAACCTTCCCCCCTTAAAAAATTTTGTCCCCGAAATTACAAATCAAGTTCAAAATCAAAATTAAACCATTCACAACAACGTTATGCTCACAAGTTCAATACCATGACCCATCCTCTGATCATTCATTCTTATCGACTCAATACACAAATCCCATATTAAAATGAAATTTACAATTTCCCAAAACATATACAATGTTTAATCAAAATTCGAGTTTTCAAAATTTTCATAACATATACAATGCTTCCAAAAGTGATACAACACCCACAATATTTCATATTTTCTAAGCATATACAATACTCAGATTGAATTCATGTTTCTAAGATGCCCGGGGAAAACAATACCGTGGTTTATATATAGCCCTTACCCGGGGGAAACAATACCGTTGTTTATACATGGCCCTTATCTCGGAGGAAACAATATCGTGGTTTATACATGGCCCTTACCTGGGGAAAACAATACTGTGGTTTATACATGGCCCTTGCCTGGGGAAAACAATAACATGGCTACTTATGCACAAGATATAGACCTTTGGGGTCGTCGGTACCGACTATGCACATAGGTCCCAAGACCAAGATGATATGATAGCCAATAGATGTACCACATACAACTGCTTATGACTTCTGGTTACGCATATGAATCTGAATCTATTTCTGATATGAACTTTGATTTTTGAAATTGTTTAGACATCATTCATAAATCCTTTACTCTGTTGTTATTCATTGGGCTCCAGCTCACCGTATTATTATGTATGTATGTAGGTGACTAGGCCTAGAGTTGATTGTCTGGAGTTTCGTTTTGTCAGCCAGCCATAGTGCCTCCCGAGGAGGTTCCCATTTTGCAATGGTCAAGTTTTTGTGAATCATGTTAAAGATCTTTTTATATTTCTTTTGTTAAGTTTTAACATGCCTTTTGTTTGTCTGTATGTATAAATGGTGACGTGGGTATGACGTCTTAATTATGTAAATTAAGTTTTAAATTTTTAGTCTCATATATGTCTATACAGCTCTATGGACGTTATATGTTTGTATTTGCTTTCGCTAGCCCCTTTATTTTATTTATTTATTCAGAGGCCTTTGATAATCTCATGATTACTAGACGGTTACGACGCTAAACCTATAGGGCGGGGTTTGAGTCGTGACAGTTAGAAACCCTATTTTCCTTATATAATATATAGATAGATATAGATCTTATCCCACTTTTACCCCTCATTTAATATGAACAATAATTTCATAAAAATTTTCAATCTAAGTAAAATTTTATTTCTAATTGTAAAAATTATGATAATGTATTAAAATCATAAATCACAATGAAAAAATTATCAAGAAGTTCTATTTTGTTTTCAAAATTACTATTGAGTTATATCATATGTCAATATTAATAAATAAGTCCTATTTTATTTTTTATTTTATAAATTGCCATAAAAATAACTTTTTATTTTTATTTTATTTTTCTCATTAAAATATGACCCAAAGATTTTCATAAATAACCTATTTTATATAAAATTTTATAATAAAAAATATTTTAATTGTTGAAATTAAATGAATTTTTATAAACAAAAGTATAAAGTATAACATTCATCAACTTTTTCATGCATTGAAAAATATATAAATTTGTCATAGTGTTATTTTCATAACTCTTTGAAATTTTAATAGAATTTAACATTTTTAAATTGCTTACACTTAAAAAAAAATCATAATTTTAAATAATAAAAAAATATGTACTTTATATTATAATTATTTTGATCCAATTGTTATTTATGATTTTTTTAATAATTCTAATAATTTTTAAAATTAAAAATTTTAATTTTAATTAAATTAAAATTATTTATAAAATTGATGTTCATATAAAATGATAAAGATAAAATTAGAATAAGGTATACGGAATAAACCTTTTAAAAATATTTTAAAACTTGAAAAAATTCAATAATTCCCATAAATGCAAAATAAAACTATTGATTATTTTCTCAAATTTTCACAACACAATAGAAAGGTCTCAAAAGACAGAAAGAAAAAACTTCTGGACAGAGAAATCTTTAGAGAGAGAACGTCTTCCAAGTAGCAACCCATCTGCTGGCCATCTCTTCCCCACTATACCATTTTAACCAGAATACATAAAGTAGTTCTTTATACTTCCTGAGTGAGACAGGTACAGCAAAAAGAGTAGTGGTAGTACTCTTTCATGGCTGGTTACAGAGCTGAAGATGACTATGATTACCTCTTCAAGGTGGTTCTGATCGGAGACTCTGGTGTTGGCAAGTCCAATTTGCTTTCAAGATTCACTAGGAATGAGTTCAGCCTCGAATCCAAGTCTACAATCGGTGTTGAGTTCGCTACCAGAAGCTTGAATGTTGATGGCAAGGTCATCAAAGCTCAGATTTGGGACACTGCTGGCCAAGAAAGGTGATTTTTTTTTTAACTTTTTAGTTCTAATTCCTGATCTGGGTTTTCTGTAGATTTGTGTCTTTGTGAAACTATGTATGCTTTTCTGGTTATATTTTGATTTAGGGTTTGTATTTTTTTTTTGTTGTGTGTGAGTTTCTTAAGTAGGATTTGGGCATTTCTTGCCAAGAAAGGTGATTTTAAACTATTAGTTCGAATTCTTGATCTGGGCTTTCTTTGAACTCTGTAGATTTGAGTTTCTGTGAAGCTCTGTATGCTTTTTGTGATTATATTTTGATTTAGGGTTTGTATTTGTTTGTCTGTTTTGTTAGTTGCTCAAGTAGTATTTGGGCATTTCTTGCCAAGGAAGGTGGCTATATTTTGTAGAATGAGGATTTGGGAAGATGTGAATGTGGGTTGGTTGTCTTGTGGAGGTATTTTCAGTTTGGTGAGTTGGGTTGGTTTGATTTAAATTAATTGGTACGTAGAGATCTGAAGAGTTTTGGATGCATTTCTGATCTCATCTACTTTTAATCGAGTGTGGTTGTTGATCTGGTGGTTACTACCGTTTGGGGCTTGTTTAGATAGTACCTTCAGATTGTTCTATGGATCGATAGATCCTCGTCCTGTATAGGGTGCCGTGCTTGTTATCCGTGGTTCTTCAATAGTTTGTCTTGTTAACTCTCAATGAGTTGAAATAATGGGTTCAGACTGAGATGCTCAAAATATGGTTTCTGGAGTCTGGACTGTTGTAATTTTGCTTCATGAGAAGGTTATCTACCCGTAGGAATTGAAGTGTTTGTACTAAGGTTCTTACAGTCTTCTTGGTTGGTATCATTTTTGTGTATTAGTGAAGATTGGATCTTGAGTCTTGATCCTACTAAAGTTCTCAAATTACTTATTCAATTTATTTCATGTTGTTTATGGTGTGGTAATGGTGATGCTGATGGTGAGTGTTGATTTTCCCTTTTTTTTTTTTTTTTTTTTTTTTTTTTTTTTTTTTTTTTTGGGAGTGCGAAGGGGAGGTATTGATAACAGTAGTGGTGGTGTGGATTGTACTGTGGAGATATATTTTGCTTTTGGTGAGCTTTGATGTTAATTATCCTTGTCTAATATTTTGATGATCCGCCCTTGGAACATATTTTTAAAATTATTAAATTTACCTTTTATAAAAATAGTAGACATTTTTTTATTTAATTTTCTTATATCTTGGGTTAATTGAAACTGGAAAACTTGATATGAATTGTTGGAGCTGGGTCTTGAGTGGCCTTCGGGCCAAGTTTGCACCTGGGTTTTTTTTTCTCTTGCTTTGTTCATTCTCTATCATTTCCACATGTCCCCAGACACCACTTGTGTTGGGGAATGTTATACACTTGCATCATCATTTCTCTAAACCACTGAAACTTGGGTTGGTTCATAAACTCTTGAGGCCTTTCAAAGCAGGGAAACATGTAATGAAGAAAGATAGAAATAACAATTTTGAGTTCTTTGATTCTAAAATGAATATCCTAGTAAAAACTCCTAGTAAAGGAACAAACTGAATTTGTTGGTTCATAAAGTCTTGAAGCCTTTTGAAGCAGGGAATGGTTTGCCCCCACCAGAAAGCTCCTAGTGAAAGGAACAAACCGGGAGCACTCCGCTCCTCGAAAGTCTTCAGGCCAAAGTATCAAGGCAGCCCTGCTGAATGCTAGTAGCATCTAACAATAAAAAAAAAAGAGCCTTCATTGAGCTCTCCTCCCTATCCGTCAAGGTCCTTCGAAACTGAGCGCTCCACATCATGCCTGCCAAGGAGACCTCAAGGTGATTTTGGAGATTGTGTATTCCACCTCTTAAACTGGTTGATGTTGAAATTATGTTTGATGGGGATAGTCATGAAGGTTTTAATTAAATGGGTACAAAACTGATATCTAGCCTTGTAAATGCACACTTGTGTTATTCGAATTAAAATCAGAATCATGAGGATTTGTGCTTGGACATTTTCCATATTTCTATTGTTAGGGTAGCTTTGTGCAAAACATTTGGGTATTGATTATCTTCTTTTTGCAGTGTTTTACTTAGGCTATATTTGGATCATGGATTTGAGTAGAGATTTAGAAAGGGAAAATGAAAAGGTAGGTGAAATGTGAATGAAATATAATTATATTTCACCCTCTTTTTTCGGTTTCCTTTCAAAATCTCTACCCAAATCGATGATTCAAACATGGTCTTAGAATAGTTCTTTATCCTATCCAAGTCTTGTTGCATCCACCATGCACTTGTGTATATACAAAATTTATGCTGTTTCATACAAAATGGAGATCTATTAAGGCTACCCTATAATGAAAATTGCCAGAACTCTTTCTTATGACATTAGAATTAGGTGTTTCATGTGGCATTTGAATATATAAAGTACCAATATGATGCCAATGGGATGCTATCTTATTTATGGTGGATATAAGAGACAGTCATTTAGGTCCTGTTTGTTTTCCACTATCACAGTCTACTCCCGATTGTGAATGATTACAGTGAAGATGCCTCATGTTTATTTTGGTTTTGGAGCGCTGGATTCGTAGTCCCTTTCGGACTATGATAGGCCTTGGCAAGGGTATTGTCAGTCTGGGCAAGGAGGTGGTATTAGAAAATAGTTCGTTCGGCTTAAGATGTTATCAGTCATTCGCTCAGACTTCCGGCCGGACGTCCGACCGGTCAACTGCAATTTTTTTTAACATGTTGGGCATTTTTTTTTTGAACATTAATGTTTTGTTTTTGTTTTGTTAAGTAAAAATCATAATTAAATTTGTTTTAATATGTTATATTTATTTAATTTAACAATCCCTACACTAACAACTATCATAAAAAAAAATACAATTTTACTAATCGCCTCACTATGAGTCCTCTCACTATCAATCTCCTCTATTCTACTTCTAAAAACAAATGGATCCTTAAAGCAATCAACACGTGCAATAGTTTAAATAAAAAAAAGGTTAAATAAAAAAAAAAAAACCCAAATAGTACACATTAATGTGTGTTTAGGAGGGGAAAGATTGGGTATACACGTAACCTTTGACATTGGGGAGGTAAGAAAAACTAAAAAAAGCGACCAAACCAATTGAACCAAATCAAACTAGCTATATTTGGTCTGTTTTTTTTTTAACAAGAATTGGTTTGTGCGATTTTTAAATTTGATTTTTTTTTATTTTTGGTTCGGTATCGATTCACGCACCTTGTGCATTGAACTGAACTGAAACTGACCGTTTCAACATATATTATATTTATAATATATATAATCTAATAATATAAAGATATTAATGAGTATAATAATTTATTAACATTAATTAATGAACCTTATAATCTTTATAACCTGAGTATGTAAATTTTTATTATATATAATCTTAATTCTAACTCCTTATTCTTGAAACCTTAGTATTTTTTAATCTTTTTATTTTTGTTTTTATTTTTGTTAATCTAGGAATTGAATAGTATTTATTAAATGGATGGATTGGAGATGTTTGAAATGGTGGACAAATAACTAATTTAATGTTCTAATATAGATTAGTGATTATTTACTACTGGCTTAAGTTTAAAACGTCCTAGACCGACTAAACCGCACCGAACCGAACCATTCAATCGGTCCAATTCGGTGTGGTTGATGGGAGAAACGGTTTGTATCAGTATTTAAAATAATAAAATCGATATTATCGGTTCGGTAAAATTTTTTATCTAAACACTGACCGTACCGAACTAATTACATCCTTATTTGGCATAGTGCACAAAGTGCTTATCCTGAGATTTGAAAAGGTGAGGCGAGGCGAGGCGAGGCGCACCGTTTGCGCCTGTGTAGGTCCCAGGCGAGGCGACTTGAGGTAGGCTCGCTCCTTAGCTGCGACTTGAGCCAGGCGACAGAGGCTCAAGGCGCACGACTAGGCGCGCTTGATTTATTAGCCGCTAGATCTGATCTAACGGCTATGGGGTGTGTGTTCGAGTGGCTGTTAGCCACAGAGGATAACAACTCATGTACAATATGACCAAATATGGCTGAAATGAACCCTAATCTATGTCGTTTTACCTCTCTCGCCTCGCCCTCACCTTCGACTTCGACAATGACTGGGCTAGCTCGATTCGACTTCGACTTCGCAGCAACTTCGACTTCGACTTCGCATAGGTATGCTTTGTTTCGCCTTGCCATCTTCTTCTTCTTCTCCTCCTCTTCTGGTCGTCTGGTCTGGTTTGGTCTTCGACTTAGATTTTTTTTTTTTTTGGTTCTAAGCCCGGGCCTGATCCCAGCTCGAGATCCTAGGCCTGGGTCTTCTGTTTCGAAGCTCAGCCCACTAGGCCCAACCTAAAACCCAGCCTATTGGCCCACTCAAGGCTCACCCCGCGCGAGGCACAGTGTCATTTTTTTGTGAAAAACTGAAAAATATGGTAGGAAAAAAATAAAAAAATAAATACAAATACAAAATAAATAAATAAATACAAATATACAAATAAATTCTAAAAAATAAATTCAAATACAAAAAATTTATAAATAATTAATTATCTGTATTTATTGAATTCTATATTTATCTGTTAGGGAAAAGAATAAATTCTGTATTTATCTGTATTTATTAAATTCTGCATTTATTAAATTCTGTTTTTATCTGTATTTAATAAATTCTGTATTTATATGTGTTTATTAAATTCTGTATTTAATAAATTCTGTGTTTATGTTTGTGTTTTTAATTTATTGAATGTGGATTATTTTATCTTTGAAAATTAGAATGTTATGTAATATGCACTTTCATGACTTTGATAATTATTTTATATTTTGTCTTGAATCTTGATTACTATTTATTTTTAAAAAAATTGTCTTAGTACTATGAATGATTAGTCTATGTTAATTTTGTTATTCTTTACTAAGACTGTGCGCCTTAGTTCAATAAAGCCTGCGCCGCGCCTTGCGCCTACACCCCGAGAGACCTTCAGCGCCTCAGTGCGCCTTGAGCCTTTAAAAACATTTGTGCTGGTGGTGTTAGAAATTTATTTATTTATTTAGAGAGTTCAATTTTATAGTTATGTTATGGTCAACAAGAGTGATGAATCATTTTCATTTTCTTTCAATTATTGAATGCAATCAGTTAACTTTTTCCTAAGCTTTTGAACAGGCTATGTTAAAACTTAAGCAAAAGCACAGCTGTGGTGAACTTAAAGAATTCTGCTGCATGAAAATCTTATAATTTATGGTATAGAATGTAATATTGTTGTTTGCCTTCTTCTCTCATCTCCATGTGTGTGTTTTTTAATTTATTTTTAATATAAGATTTTCAATCTTCAGCCCAACATGGCATATATTCCATGCCCCGACGTTGGAACACAAAAACACACAAATGTTAACTTCCAAGCCATTGAGCCTTCATAGGATGATTGATGCTGCTTGCATGCTTAAACTATCTCCTTCTTGCTTCTAAGATCTAGGAATCATTGGCCATACTGGATAAGTTTTTATTCCTTATTCCAAATTTGTTAGGCCACATACTTTGATTATTGAGAAAATAAACAATTGTGAAAGCATATTTCCAGTTTTCAGTTTGTGACTCATTGTTTGCACAAGAAGAATCTTAGAACCCATATCACAATTTAATCATTTTTGATCTTTTGTTAAAAGAGACCAGAAAACATCTTCAGTAATTGTTTGGTTGTAGTTTTGCTGTGGTATCTCTTCTTGCCCTTTACTTTTTTTTTTGGTTGCCGCCGCGTGCGGGGGGAGGGGGCATTTCTTTGGGATCACTCTTTAGAAGTGCATAAAACCTCATCCTTTTTATGTCACTCTTTATGTAAAAACCTTATTTTCTTTAGGTATTGCACGTGATTAAGTTTATTCTTGAACTTCTTACAACTTATAATGACTCCTAGCTAAATCATGAGGGCATACATCAATTTGACATTTTGACCACTTTCTACTGCCTCAAGTATTTAGTTGGATGAAGTTTTCAATTTTATAATTTAATTACTACTCTCACTTGCAATTTAATCTCTTGACCACTTAAGGTTCAACTTTGACTCCCATAATTAATCCTTCGATACATAAGGTATTTGCTCAATTTTCTAGTTTGTTCTTAATCATTTAAATTTACTTTTGCTTTCTAGTGTTCAAGTGAATCATGCATTCCTAAGTGATACATGAACATATAAGAACTGAAAGTGCAAGATATATAGAGATGAACACCATGAATTTGTAGTGGCTTGGCGACTAAGAATGGACACTTCTAAGAAAGTGCATATCCGGCACCGACACTCATCGGACACTTCCTAACATGTGTTCAAATGTGTCATTATTTTTCAAATTTTTTTTAGACCTAGACACACTTGATGAACATTACATGATTAAATTGTAGATCAGACTCTGGTGACCAAGGAGAGGGGATTCATTTGGATTATAGTCTCCATTCTTGATTATTGTGTTCCAATGCTTTAGAATGGTCTTCTTTAGTAAAATGAAGGTTAGGATTTGGGTTTTAAATATCAACCATTACATATTGTATTGCCCCTTGCATATCGAGATTTTGAACTTCCGATACCATTATTCATCAATATATCAGTTGATATTGTTCGATACTGATACATATCCTTTACAGTTATTTAAAACCATTAAGATTTAACATGTATAAAGTAGAAAGGTGGGGGAAGGGTGCCTATCTACTATACCTTTTTCAGACGCCATTATTAGCTAGAGTCTTGTGCATTGGGTACAACTTTGATATGATCGTGCCACGCTTCAATACCATTGATGACCGCCATATTTAGCCTTCCAATTGCCAGACACAAAGTTTGATCTACGTAATTTATTTTTGGATTTGACTTTGAATAAGATATATGTATATTTAGTCATATATGTGAATTCTTAACCCAATTTAATGAACTGATTCTTTAATGTCCACTTTGAATTTGATCAGATATGATTTTCTCTATGTTTGGGTGCATGATAATCCACCAATCTGGATTGGATTAACACATTGATCTTTTGAGAGATTGAAGTTTTATGGAAGAATAATTAATGGATGATGTTGCTCTATGTGGGTCCCATACCTTTGTCTCACATTTGTATTCTATTCTGTGAGAATTTTCTGTGTTCCTAGAATGGCTGGTTATACATTATCATTTTTCTATGGCTGGTTATACATTATCATTTTTCTATTGCTGTTGAATGTTTTCGTGCATGTGTCATGTACCTTTATTCCGAGTTTTGACAACGTTTGAGTGTGTGTAGGTATCGTGCCATCACTAGTGCCTACTACCGAGGTGCTGTGGGTGCACTGCTTGTTTATGATGTTACCCGTCACTCAACATTTGAAAATGTCGAAAGGTGGTTAAGGGAGTTGAGGGATCACACGGATCCCAACATCGTTGTGATGCTCATTGGTAACAAATCTGATCTTCGACACCTTGTGGCGGTTTCAACTGAGGATGGAAAGTCATTTGCCGAGAGGGAGTCACTCTTCTTCATGGAAACGTCTGCTCTAGAAGCTACTAATGTCGACAATGCATTTGCAGAAGTTCTCACTCAGATCTATCGCATTGTCAGCAAGAAGGCGATGGAGTCCGCCAATGACGGAGCTGCTTCTGCAGTCCCCGCCAAAGGAGAGAAAATCGACGTTGATAAAGATGTGTCCGCGATGAAAAGAACCGGGTGCTGCTCAAACTAGGGTTTTGAACATAAATTTGATTTGCTTTAATGGGATGTGGCTGGTTTGTTGTTTTGCTGCATCTCGTATTGTACACCATGATTGTGTAAAATTTTCTCAGAGATGTTCACGTTAGGAGAGAAGGTGACGAATTTACTGCGCTCAATTTTAAATTCATTAACCCATGATTGTTATATCATTTGTGCAAACAAAGAGCTTGATGAGGGATATAGGATATTATTATCTATTAGCCCAAATTTGCATGATACTCTTCGTCTATTTGAATGCACTTTTTGATCCCATTATCATCATTGGGGAAATATCAGATAAATAAAAAAATGGGGAAATTGATTATGAATCAATGAAATATAAGGGTAGATTTTAATTGTATTTCATTGATTATTTCCTTTTAATCTGATATTTCCCCAATACAATTAATCGTCTATACAATTTTGTGGGACTAACACCGGCAATCAAAGGAAGTTTTTAACAACCCATTTTGGCCTACACATTTTTATGATATTTGTAATTTATTTTCTTATTATTGGACAAAAAAATTAGCTGAGAAATTACAATTTTAAGTCTTAAGATTTGACCTTTGTAATAAAATAAAGATTAAATTTTTTTATTTTGTCAATTTAAATTATAAAATTGTGATATTTTTTTTTTTAAATTTAAATAATTTATCTATTTCAACTAAGTAAAATCATTAGAAAAAATGATATTTAGTCATTAAGCTCAATAAAAAATGATATTTAATTTAAATTATAAACTTTTGATTTTTTTTTAAAATTTAAATAATTTATCTATTTCAACTAAGTAAAATCATTAGAAAAAATGTAATTTAGTCATTAAGCTCAATAAAAAATGATATTTTTAATATTTTATGTATTTAATTATTAAATAAATCAAAATAGATGAATGGTTTAGATTGAAAATAAATCAAAATATTATGTGTCGTTTGGTAACACTTACGTTTTCAGTTTTCTGTTTATATTTACAAAAATTTTAAAAATTCAAATAAAAATTCGTTTGGTAAATTTTTGATTTATAAATCAGTGATCTCAATTTATAAATTTGGTAAAAAAATGTGTTTTCGTTTTGAGTTTTGTTTTTTTTTACCGCCCAACACTAGCCACCACTCGCCACCATTTTCTACACGTTGATAAAGATGTGTCCGCGATGAAAAGAACCGGGTGCTGCTCAAACTAGGGTTTTGAACATAAATTTGATTTGCTTTAATGGGATGTGGCTGGTTTGTTGTTTTGCTGCATCTCGTATTGTACACCATGATTGTGTAAAATTTTCTCAGAGATGTTCACGTTAGGAGAGAAGGTGACGAATTTACTGCGCTCAATTTTAAATTCATTAACCCATGATTGTTATATCATTTGTGCAAACAAAGAGCTTGATGAGGGATATAGGATATTATTATCTATTAGCCCAAATTTGCATGATACTCTTGTCTATTTTGAATGCACTTTTTGATCCCATTATCATTATTGGGGAAATATCAGATAAATAAAAAAATGGGAAACTTGATTATGAATCAATGAAATATAAGGGTAGATTTTAATTGTATTTCATTGATTATTTCCCTTTAATCTGATATTTCCCCAATACAATTAATCGTCTATACAATTTTGTGGGACTAACACAGGCAATCGAAGGAAGTTTTTAACAACCCATTTTGGCCAACACATTTTTATGATATTTGTAATTTATTTTCTTATTATTGGACAAAAAAATTAACTGAGAAATTACAATTTTAAGTCTTAAGATTTGACCTTTGTAATAAAATAAAGATTAAATTTTTTTATTTTGTCAATTTAAATTATAAACTTTTGATTTTTTTTTAAAATTTAAATAATTTATCTATTTCAACTAAGTAAAATCATTAGAAAAAATGATATTTAGTCATTAAACTCAATAAAAAATGATATTTTTAATATTTTATGTATACTTTAATCATTAAATAAATCAAAATAGATGAATGGTTTAGATTGAAAATAAATCAAAATATTAGAGTTTAAATTGATAAAATTAAAATTTGAGATTTATTTTGTTACAATGCTTAAACCCTAAATTATTTTATATATATATATATATATATATATATTTGTAATTGTCCCCAAAATATATAAATAAAAAATTACAAAAAGAACTCTAAGATTTGACCTCAATTACAAATCAAATCTTAACTTTTTAATTGTTTCAATTTCAATTATGAATTTTTAAATTGATATCAATTCAAACCATGTGTTTAACTGACGGAAGAAAGACACTCTAGACAATTTGACCATTTTTTTCTTCCATTACGATTGACACCCACCTTCCACTCTTATCGTCGCTTGTTTCTACATCTCATCTTTCCTAACCCACCACCATGGCTCCATCATTTGTTCCTATCTAGGACTATTTCTTTCCTTCAGTAGTTTATTGTTATCCCTCTTATTCCTTCCTTAGTCCATAATTATCACGATCGTCCTAGGTGACGAATTTACTGCGCTCAATTTTAAATTCATATTAACATTTCAATTAATATTTTGAACCTTTCAATTTCTTTAAACCCCCTCTCACCTACAAAATTCAAAACTCTAAAAATTTCTAACTCCCAAATAATACAAAAATTATCCTTACAAAAATATCACACCCACCAAAATGTATATCCCTTAGCACACCCCTTAAGAACCCTTCATCTCCCAAAACCCTTAACAATTGAACTCACCAAACTTTCTTTCATCGAGCTGTGCTGTTGATCTATTTGTTGTCGATCTCTTCGTCACCAATTTCTATCAGAACGGATCTCTCACCAATGACCTCTCCCCGTTGCCATATTTAGACCGACAAATTAGTTATGTTCGGACCTGTGTTACTAAACATTGTAAAAACATAAAGTCATATATCTATGAACAAGTTTAACCCATCAAAATTTAATAAACAAAGATAAGTATGTATCAACTAGTTTGATTAACAAATAAAGCTAAAGTTCATTGCATAAACAAAACATAAGTATGCATTAAGGTTACATCCAAAATGCTGAACATATAAATAAAAAAGTTTGGATCCAAAGTGTCGAATATATAAATAATATTTGGTTAGACGTTGCCAAACTAATGCCTTTAATTTGGCCCTTTATTATCATTTTCTTGGTATTTGTTCGAGAGTTCAGTATGAAAAAATTCGAACCATTTTCATCAATTTGTTTGTATTTTAAAAAAAAACCCTTACTAGTATAAGGTAATCTCCTCCGAACTGTGAATGTCATCCAAGGTGTAAACCTCCTCTGAGTTTATATTGTGATACTCCATTCATCTCATGGTATTGGGGTTGTTAGAAAATTTTTTACTCATTGCCGTTGCTAGAGAAGTGTGTGTTGTTGAATAATTGCTGTCATTGTTGTCAGAAGACTAATCGCTGAAGAGTTTTTAAGGGTTTTTAAGGTGTGCAGGTTTTAAGGATTTTGAAATGTTGGTGGTGATAAAAGTGTGTGCTCTCATAAATCCTATATTATGATTTGGGGGGTGAGTGAGTTTAATTGTAAGATAGAATATCTCAAAAATAATTCATGTTCTTTTTGTACAAGTAATTTCATTTGAGTTTATTATTGTAAAAAAAATTGAACAAAATAGGGTCCAAAGTATTAATTGGGATACTAATAACTTTGTTTGGTTTTAATTTTCTGAATTCAATTTTTAAAAAATTGACTTTTTATTTTTATTGAATTTTTTAAATAGTAATTTTTAGTTTTTAAATACACTTAATATAAATACAACATGTTTGTGAAAAAAATCTTTAAAAAGTTCAATAAATACCAAAAAAAAAGAGAGTATATTTTTGTATTCTTGTGTATTTATTAAGTTTTTAAATATTTTTTTATAAATATTTTACTTTTTAGGTAAATTTAGGTTAGGTCCATATAAAAAGTGAAATTTTTTCTTAAAATATTAAAAAAATTCAATAAAATAAAAAAAATAAAAAAATTCATTTTTTTAAAAATTAAATTTAAAAAATTGAAACTAAACAAAATAAATATCAACAATCATCAACAAAAGTAATTGTGTTTGAAAATAAAAATAAAAATAAAAATAAAAATGTTTTACATTTGATTTTGAAAATGGAAAATGTTGTTTCCAAAGTTTCCAATGAGCTAGTTTGTTTTTTACCCCTTCACAAAAAGATAAATTACAAATACACCTCATGAAATTTGCTTAAATTACAAATTACTTCATATGATTTTAGAAATTATATTATGTCTTTTAAGATTTCTAATTTCATAACAAATGGACCATTTTATTAATAAATTATTAATTAACAGTTTTTATGATATTAGAAATATATTTTAATTAATAATTTAGATAATTTTATTATTGTATAAGAGAATAATTAAGAATTTTTTTTTCATTAATTTTATTAAATAAAAATTTTAACAATGAAGTATTTAAAATTTTTTAAATAACAAAAAAGATAATTTATAATTTAAGTGTATTTATAAATTATTTATTTTCAACACAACAGAAAGGTCTCAAAAGACGGAAAGAAAAAAATTTCTGGAGAGAGAAACGTTGAGAGAGACAGAGAGAGGAAACATCTTCCAAGTTTACAGCCCATCTGGGGCCATCCCTCCCACGTTAAACCATTTTAACCAGAATACATAAAGTAGTTCTATATACATCCTGAGTGAGACAGGTACAGCAAAAAGAGTAGTGGTAGTACTCTTGAATGGCTGGTTACAGAGCTGAAGATGACTATGATTACCTCTTCAAGGTGGTTCTGATCGGAGACTCTGGTGTTGGCAAGTCCAACTTGCTTTCAAGATTCACTAGGAATGAGTTCAGCCTCGAATCCAAGTCTACAATCGGTGTTGAGTTCGCTACCAGAAGCTTGAATGTTGATAGATATACTGACTTGATCGTCGGAGTGCCCCCGGGTGGTCGAAACCACCGCGGGATTCTTATATTTCTGTTGCAGGTCAGTCAGGTGCCATCTATTCTGCCAGTGCTCTCCAGCTGGTTACTAAGCGGGCAGTGTGGTCGGAAAATCACCCACACAGAAACATTTTTTTTTTTTTTTTTTTTTTTGTGTGTGTGTGTGTGTCTATTTTGTGAGTTTCTTAAGTAGGATTTGGGCATTTCTTGCCAAGAAAGGTGATTTTTAAACTATTAGTTCGAATTACTGATCTGGGTTTTCTTTGAGCTCTGTAGATTTGTGTCTTTGTGAAGCTATGTATGCTTCTCTGATTATATTTTGATTTAGGGTTTTGTATTTGTTTGTCTGTTTTGTTAGTTGCTCAAGTAGAATTTGGTATTTATTTTTAAATTTTGTTTGAACTATAAATTTGGGTAGCGATATAAAATGGAAAGAAAAAAGTTAAGAGAGATGTAAATGAAACATAAGTTTTTTTTTTTTTTTTTTTGTGTGTGTGTGTGTGTCTATTTTGTGAGTTTCTTAAGTAGGATTTGGGCATTTCTTGCCAAGAAAGGTGATTTTTAAACTATTAGTTCGAATTCCTGATCTGGGTTTTCTTTGAACTCTGTAGATTTGTGTCTTTGTGAAGCTATTTGTGCTTCTCTGATTATATTTTGATTTAGGGTTTGTATTTGTTTGTCTGTTTTGTTAGTTGCTCAAGTAGAATTTGGGCATTTCTGGCCAAGAAAGGTGCCTTTTTTTTGTTTGTTACATTTTGTAGACTTAGGATTTGGGAAGATGTGAATGTGGGTTGGTTGTCTTGTGGAGGTATTTTCTGTTTGGTGAGTTGGGTTGGTTTGATTTGGTAATTGGTACGAAGAGATCTGAAGAGTTTTGAATGCAATTCTGATCTCATCTACTCTTGATCGAATATGGTTGTTGATCTGGTGGTACTACTGTATGGGTCTTGCTTAGATATTATGTTTATAACATGTTATGGTAATCTTGGTTGGAGGTAGATTAAGTTTAGATTGTTCTATGGATTGATAGATCCTCGGCCTGTACAGCTTGCTGCGCTTGTTATTCGTGGCTCTCCAATAGTTTGTCTCATTAACTTGCAATGAGTTGAGTAATGGGTTCAGACTGAGATGTTCAAAATATGGTTTCTGGAGTCTGAACTGCTGTAATTTTGATAAATGAGAAGGTTGATCTACCCGTAGGAACTGAAGTGTTCATACTAAAGTTCCTACAGTCTTCTTGGTTGGTATCATTTTTGTGTATTAGCGAAGATTGGATCTTGAGTCTTGTTCATACTAAAGTTCTGGTATTACTTCTTCAATTTATTTCATGTTGTTTATGGTGTGGTAATGATGATGATGGTGAGTGTTGGGTTTTCTTTTCTTTTCTTTTGGGAGTGGGAGTGGGAGGGGGAGGTATTGATAGCATTAGTGGTGGTGTGTGTGGCTATTGTACTGTGGAGATATATTTTGTTTGGTGATTGGGTGCTGCTTGTGATGTTAATTATCCTTTTCTAAATATTTGGATGATTTGTCCCCCCTGGGAACATATTTTTAAAATTTTAAGCTTTACCTTTTATAAAAATAATAGACAATTTTTTATTTAATTTTCTTATTGCTTGGGTTAGTTGAAACCGGAGAACTTGATATGAATTGTTGTGCCACGTTCCTCCTAGTTTAAGCTTTTGAGACTAATGGTAATCTAATATGGTATCGGAGTTGAGATGGGTCTTGAGTGTCCTTGTGGGCCTAGTTTGCACCCTGGGTTTGTTTCTCTTGCTTCATTCATTTTTCTATCATTTCCATGTGCATCCAGACCACATGTGCTCGGGAATGTTATACACTTGTCTCGCATCATTTCTTGAAACCACTGAAACTTGGTTCATAAATTCTTGAGACCTTTCGAAGCAAGGAAAAATGTAATGAAGATAGATAGAAGTAACAATTTTGAATTCTTATTCTAAAATGAATATCCTGTTAAAAGTTCCTAGTAAAGGAACAAACCAAGAACATTCATAGTAAAAAGAACAAATTGAATTTGTTGGTTTGTAAAGTTTTGAGGCCTTTGAAGCAGGGAAATGTTTGCCCCCACCACAAAGCTCCTAGTGAAAGGAATAAACTGAGAACACTCACACTCCTCGAAAGTCTTCAGCCCAAAGTATCAAGGCAACTCTGCTGAAAACAGCATCTAACAATCCAAGAGAAGGTCTCCATTGAGGTGTCCTCTGTATCCTTCAAGGTCCTCTTAAATCGAGGGCTCCACACCATGCCTGCCGAAGAGACCTCGAGGTGATTTTGGAGATTATATTCCACCTCTTAAACTAGTTAGTGTTAAAATTATGTTTTATGGGGATAGTCGTGAAGGTTTTAATTAAATGGGTACTAAACTGATAGCTAGCATACACACTTTAAAATAAGAATCATGAGGATTTGTGCCCGAAGATTTTCCATATTTCCATTGTTAGGGTAGCTTTGTGCAAAACATCTGAGTATTGATTTTTTTTCTTTTTGTAGTGCTTTTACATAGGCTGTGTTTGGATCATGGATTTGGAAAAGTGAAAAGAAAATGATAGGTGAAATGTGAATGAAATATAGCTGTATTTCATCCTCCTTTTTCCTTTCCTTTTTTAAATCCGTACTAGTAAAATCTAAATTCTAGATACGTGATTTATTATTTTTCCAAATTCAATCACAAATCAATAAGATGGATACTACAATTCTCAACACTAAGGCAAATCTAAATCAACGCTTCTTTCGAATGGAATTGATTTAGATCTAAACTTAGAAATCAATAGATAGAACACAATAGATTTTAATTTGGAAAATACAATTCCAATTGGAATTGTCCTATTGCAATTGCTAAAAAACCACTAGTTAAGAGGCTGAGCAAACCCTCTAAGACAAATCATGAAGATTACAACAAGACATCTCACCCAATCTACCTCCTAGTGAATCCACACCCCATTGATTTCCAGATGCTTTCCAATCTTCAATACAATTTGCTTTTAAGGATTTGAAGCTTGTTGAATTGAATCCACAACCTCGAACTGAGCTTTGTTACCACTGAAATAACGCTGAAGAATAATCACAAACGAATCTCCCTTCTTTTTCTTTTTGATAAATAAAAAAATCACAAATGAATCTCCGTTGAATTGTCCTTCAATTCCTTGAGATGTATGGAGATATAACACTCAATTATTAAGGGAAAACTCAAAGAAGTCATTCCTATATCTCATACTCTCTGTTTCAGGAGCTTGCAGAGAGAGCATCAGAAGAGTTAGATCTTGATCTGAAGAGCAGGAGAATTTTTAACAAACTGAGATCGAGTTGATCACTTGAGTGCAGAAAAGACCGCTCTGCAGTTGTAACAAACTTTGAACACTTGACCAACTTAGAGTAATTGAGTCTTCGCTTGAGTCCACCTTTCTTTGCTCTAGCGATGAGTGAAACCATCCACTATCTCAGAAACTCAGACTGAGAAATTGCAAGCCTAAAAAGTTTTCTCGAGCGCACAAACCAAGCTTGCAGGATCTCAGATCACAGACTAAGATATTGCAGGGCTGAAAATATCGCTCGAGCACACTTTTGATTGCTCGAGCTGTCCATGGAGCTTTTCAATTGTTCTGAAGAAGTTGAAGCTGATCAGTATGAAGGAAGATCACCCAGGACACTCAATATCCTCACAACAATACACAAGAACAACCAATACAACTCAAAAGTGTTTGTCACACGAAATTGCCAAAACAAAGGTCCTAACACTACCCAAATTGGTGATTCAAACACAGCCTTAGGATAGTTCTTTACCCTCTCCAAGTCTTGTTGCATCCACCATGCACTTTGTGTATGTACAAAATTTATGCAGCTTCATACAAAGTGGAGATCAATTAAGGCTGCCGTATAATGGAAATTGCCAAAACTCTTTCTTCTGACATTAGAATTAGGTGTTTCATGTGGCATTTGAATATATAAAGCAGCAATATGAAACCAATGGGATGCTGCCCTATTGATAGTAGACATAAGAGACTTTCATTTAAAGCAATCAAGGCATGCACTAGTTTAAATATGGTGAAAAATACATTTCACAAATTATCTCCCTTTAATATTGTTTGATGTGGTGGTGTTGTTAGAAATTTATTTATTTATTTTGAGTAAGTTCAATTTTATAGTTATGTTATGGTCTACTACAAGAGTGATTAATCATTTGCTTTTTCTTTCAATTATTGAATGCAATCAGTTAACTTTTTCCTAAGCATTTGAACAGGCTATGTTAAAAGTTAAGCAAAAGCACAGCTGCGGTGGACTTAAAGAATTCCGCTGTATGAAAATCTTATAATTTATGGCATAGAATGTAATATTGTTGTTTGCTTCTTCTCTCATCTGCGTGTGTGTTTTAATTTAGTTTAATTTAATTTATTTTTAATATAAGATTTTCAGTCTTCAGCCCAACATGTCATATATTCCATGCCCAGACATTGGAACACAAAAACACACAAATGTTAACTTCCAAGCAATTGAACCTTCATAGGATGACTGATGCTGCTTGCATGCTTAAACTATTTCCTTCTTGCTTCTAAGATCTAGGAATCATTGGCTATGAAGCACGGGTATAGTTATGAGTACTGGTCCTAGTATGATACGGGTATACGGTAAAATTTAAAAAAAGTAGGGTACGGGTATGGTTTGGTACGCTTCTAAAAATATATATTTTGATTTAGAGTAATGTAAAAATTAATTAAATGGTTTAATTTGTTAAGATTCAATCTACAATTAACATTTAATGACAAAAGTAGATGTATAAATCAAAATTAAATGTCAATATATTTTACGAACTATAGTTTAATTTTAAAAATATGCTAAGCATAAAACTAAAAATAAAAAAGAATTCTAGTGAAAGGAGTTTTATTTTTGTAGTAGAAGAAAATATTGTTTCAACTGAAGTACGGTACGACTTGGGTATATAGTAGGTGCGTCTGGGTACGCCAAAAATTAAGAAGAAAAAATTTGGATACGTCTTTTGTGTACCTGGTACGTATACAGAAGTACCATATAAGGTGCCATACACCGATAAGTACCTGGTATGGGTATGACATGTTTTTTGAAGCACTCATACTTTATAGATTATTGGCCATACTCTGGATAAGTTTTTGTTCCTTACTCCAAATTTGTTAGCCCACATACTTTGATTATTGAGAAAATAAACAATTGTGAAAGCATATTTCCAATTTTCAGTTTGTGACTCATTGTTTTAATCATTTTGATCTTTAAAAGAGACCAGAAAACATCTTCAGTAATTGTTTGGTTGTAGTTTTGCTGTGGTATCTCTTCTTGCCCTTTACTTTTTTTTTTTCTTTTTGCCGCGTGCGGGTTGTGTGTGTGTGTGTGTGTGTGTGTGTGGGTGGGGGGGGGTTGTATTTTCTGTTCAAGGATTGACATTTCTTTGGGATCACTCTTTAGAAGTGCATAAAACCTCATCCTCTTTTTGTCACTCTTTATTTTAAGACCTTATTTTCTTTATGTATTTCATGCGATAAAGTTAATTCAACCTCTTACAACTTGAAATGACTCTTAGCTAAATCATGAGGGCATACATCAATTTGACATTTTGACAACTTTCTACTGCCTCAAGTATTCATTTTGATGAAGTTTTCAATTTCATAATTTAATTACTACTCTCACTTTGCAATTTAGGGATTGTTTGGGATGATTTAAGGGTATGGGTTGGGTTTAAAGTGATGTGACAGAGAGGTGATGTGACTTAAATAAGATGATGTGACTTAAATAGGGTAGTGACTTTTTGACTTTTTAGTTTTTTTAGGTTATGACAAACTTAATCTCTTGACCACTTAAGGCTCAATTTTGACTCACATAATTAATCCTTCAATACATAAGATATGTGCTCAATTTTCTAGTTTGTTCTTAATCATTTAAATTTAATTTTGCTTTCTAGTGTTCAAGTGAATCATGCATTCATAAGTGATACATGAACATATAAGAACTGAAAGTGCAAGACATAAAGAGATTAACACAAGAATTCGTAGTGGCTTGGCGACTAAGAACAGACCCTTCTAAGAAAGTGCAAATCCGGCACCAACATTCATTAGACACTTCCTGATATGTGTTGAACACACAGCCAAATGTGTCGTTATTTTTAAAAAAAATTTTAGACCCTACACACACTTTGGTAACTTTATAGGATTAAATTGTAGATCAGAATCTGGTGACCAAAGAGAGGGATTCATTTGGATTATAGTCTCCATCCTTGATTATTGAGTTCCAGTGCTGTAGAATGGTTTTTTTTTAAAAGAAAAATGAAGGTTAGGATCTGGGTTTTAAATATCAATTGTTACGTATTGTATTGCCCCGGTACATATCAGAATTTTGAACTTCCGATACTGTTATTCATCAATATATCGGCTGATATTGTCTGATAGTAGTAGATATATGAATGTATTGCCGATACTGATACACATGCCTATACCTTTATTTAAAACCAAGGATTCAACATGTATAAAGTAGAGAGGTTTGGGGTTTTTTAAAACCAGTAGGATTCAACTTGGGGGGTTTGGGGGGCCTACCTACTGTACCTGTTTTTAGACACCATTGTTAGCCAGAGTCTTGTGCATTGGGTACAACTTTTTGTTGATTGTACCACACTTCAATACCATTTAGCCAGAGTCTTGTGCATTGGGTACAATACAACTTCTTGTTGATTGTGCCACACTTCAATACCATTGATGAGCACCATATTTACTTCCAATTGCCAGACACAAAGTTTGACCTATGTAATTTATTTTTGGATTTGACTTTGAATAAGATATGGATATTTAGTCAAATAGGTGAATTCTTAACCCAATTTAATGAACTGATTCTTTAATGTCCACTTTGAATTTGATCGGATTTGATTTTCTCTATGTTTTGGTGCACAACAATCCACCAATCTAGATGGGATTAACACGGATCTTTTGTGAGAGTTTTGGGGTAGAATAATTAATGGATGATGTTGCTCTGTGTGGGTCGCACACCTTTGTCTCACATGTGTGATCTATTCTGTGAGAATTTTCTGTGTTTTTAACATGGCTGATTATATATCATAATTTTTCTATTGTTGTTGCATGTTTCGTGCATGTGATCATGTACCTTTATTCCAAGTCTTGACAACTTATTACTGTTGAGTGTGTAGGTATCGTGCCATCACTAGTGCCTACTACCGAGGTGCTGTGGGTGCGCTGCTTGTTTACGATGTTACCCGTCACTCAACATTTGAAAATGTCGAAAGGTGGTTAAGGGAGTTGAGGGATCACACGGATCCCAATATTGTCGTTATGCTCATTGGTAACAAATCCGATCTTCGTCACCTTGTGGCGGTTTCAACCGAGGATGGAAAGTCATTTGCCGAGAGGGAGTCACTCTTCTTCATGGAAACGTCCGCTCTAGAAGCTACTAACGTTGACAATGCGTTTGCGGAAGTTCTCACTCAGATCTACCGCATCGTCAGCAAGAAGGCGATGGAGTCGGGCAATGATGGAACTGCTTCTGCAGTCCCCACCAAAGGAGAGAAAATCGACATTGGAAAAGATGTGTCCGCAGTGAAAAGAACTGGGTGCTGCTCAAACTAGGGTTTTGAACAGAAATTTGATTTGCTTTAATGGGATGTGGCCGGTTTGGTTTTTTTGCTGCATCTATTATTGTACACCATGATTGTGTAAAATTTTCTCAGAGATGTTCACATTAGGGGAGAAGGTGAGGATTTTACTTTGCTCAATTTTAAATTCATTAACCCATGATTGTTATATCATTTGTGCAAACAAAGAGCTTGATGAGAGATATAGGATATTACTATTTATTGGCCCAAATTTGCATGATATTCTTTGTCTATTTTAATGCTATTTTTGATCCCATTATCATTATTGGGCAAATATTATATAAAAAAAAAGAAGGGAAAAGTGATTATAAATCACTGAAATATAAGGGTAAATTTTAATTGTACTTCATTGATTTGGAATTACATTTGTTGTTTCTTTTTTGTCTGATATTTTCCTTATTCCGAAAGTCCTATTTTTATTTTAATTTTATTTTAAAATTTATCTAACAAAGTCCCGTATTCCATTTCAATAAATTTTACAGTCCTTGCAACTATGGCTTAGTCTATGAGGTGTTTGAAATGGCCTTGTTATGTCTAGGAAAGTAGCGTTTAATTAACTAGCCAGAAAGTCGAAGACTAGTTGATTATTCTGTTTTTATGTTGTTTAATTTGCCTAATTACCATATCAGTGTCTGCTACGGGCATCACTTTCGCATTTTTCAACATAAAAATGGCCAAAACGACGTCGTTTTGGCCATTTGAGCCACTTTTGAGCCACAAAATTTGAGCTACGAGACATTTTCCGATTTGGAATTACCTTTGTTGTTTCTTTTTGGTCTGATATTTTCCTTATTCCGCAAGTCCTCTTTTTATTTTTATTTTATTTTAAAATTTATCTAACAAAGTCCCATATTCCATTTCAATAAATTTTAGGGTAAATTACATATACACCCCTCGAGGTTTGGCTAAATTACAGATACCCCTGAGGTTTGAGAAATTACGAATTCCCCCCTGAATGCTATATTTGCATAAGAAATTAGGGGGTAATTTGTTATGAAATATAAACCTCAAGGGGCAAATTGTTATGAAAATACAAACCTCAGGAGGCGGGATGTAATTTCTGAAATTTCAGGAGGATATCTGTAATTTAACCAAACTTCGAGGGATGTATATGTAACTATGGCTTAGTCTATGAGGTGTTTGAAATGACCTTGTTATGTCTAGCGTTTAATTAACTAGCCAGGAAGTCGAAGACTAGTTGATTATTCTGTTTTTATGTTGTTTAATTTGCCTAATTACCATATCAGTGTCTGCTACGGGCATCACTTTCGATGACTTTTTCAAGTGTTTACGATTTTTTTGGTGACTGATGCTCTGGCGGCAGAGGGATAAAAACAAAAAGTATATATTTTAATTTACACTTTTTATCAAATAATTTCATTAATTATGTTCCTACACCCAAAACAAAATAATTTTTCGACCAAATACTATACACTGACAAAAATGAATCTTTCACCAAATATAAAAAAAAAAAAATGTAAAGAGAATCTCATCATTTTTTTTGTGGAAACGAGGTAACAGGATGGAATAGGGGATGCTGCTGTACAGCGAAATGAGTTTATTTCGATAATTCGAACCGTTTGTATTTTAGAATATATCTAGTTAAATATATTTATAAAAAAATTAAGGTAATGGTATCATTTATCCATTCATTCACTCACATTTGTAGTTACAAAAATAAAAAAAAAAATTATAATTTAAAGTATTAATGTTAGTGTGTTAGCTTTATGTTAGTGGTTTAGATTTTATGTATAGTGCAATGTTAGTGCTTTAGCTTTATGTTAGTGGTTTAGACTTTATGTATAGTGCAATATTAGTGCTTTAGATTTTCATCATTACAATTTGTAAATCGTCTCCTATATAAGGAGCCCCTAACCATATGAATAAATACAATCTATTCTACCTCTCTATACATTATTCTAACAATTAAAATGAATAAAAATATGAGTGGATGAATGTGTAAACGATATCTGATTAATTTGATTTTTTACAAACATGTTCTACTTAATTTATTATAAAATATGAATAGTTCGAATTATCGAAATAGGTCCCATTTCGCCCTGTTGCGCAACCTGCGCGGCAGCTTCTCCAATTTTGGTATGGCCATCTAGGTTGCTTCTATTTGTCTTTAACTTCAACTAAATCTGCTTATAACTAATAAAGATCTCATTAAATATTAATTTACATCGATAATCTGGCATTTGTATTGTATCTGTAAAAATTAATGAACCCAATGTGATTAAGTATAAGTAATAGAATCCACAATCAGGTCTCTTCTTCTTGCCTCCGTCCTGGGCGGCCCTTGCCGGTGTTGCCTCCGTGTTTCCCACTCCACTGGGCACGATCACTACTCCCTGCTCCTCCACTGCAGCATATGGCGGACCCCCAAATCGGAACATCACGGTGGCCTTCCGCTTCAGCTCCTTATTTTC